CAAAACTTGCAAGAGATTTAATGGCTATTCAAGTGTCTACGGTGGCCTCAAAAAGTGCTTTTAGTATCAGAGGAAGAATTCTTGATCATTTCGTAGTTCTTTAACTCCTAGGATGGTAGAAGTTTTGGTGTGTACACAAGATTGGATTAAAGAGTCTACAAGCATGAAGAAATTCTATAAGGAAGATGTGAAGGAATATAATAAGTTGGATGAAAGTAATGTAGTTATTCCATGATTTATGTTAAATATGTATTTTATCAAATTTATTCCTAATTTAATCATTATTTTTTGTAGAACTTTTGGAATCAGAGAAATCAAATGAAGGTTGAATTAATGTGATTAGTTCATTTCTAAAGTTTTGAGATAGATATGTATTCTAATGTGCATAACTCTTTATTAATGTAATATATATCTTTTTTCTCTAACTATTTTTGTTATTTGTATTATAGGAATGATGCTTAAAGCTTATGCGACAACTCGGAAGTCGTAACATTTTACCTTATTATTTATTTTATGAGAATTTGGATTTTGGATTATTGTAGTATTTGTATTCTTATTTATTGAGTTTGGATTACTCTAATATTTTTTAATTGTTGGATAACTGTAATATTTAAATTTTCTTTCCATGTTTGATGGCTATTTTGATTGTGTTTAGTTTCATTAGTATGTTTTTAATTTAATTAAATTACTTTGTTTCGGTTAAATTTTTTACGTTATCACTGTTTATGAAAATGACAAACTATCATCAACTAGAAGAAATAATATTAAATTTCTTCTGATTTTCTTTTAGGCAAATAGGGATTCATTTGGCAGTTTGAAACTAATCACTTGCTCACTATTGCCATCATTTTTCAAGAATGCCTCATATGTCTCTATGTTGTACCTTTTCCACTACCTTCCATTGTGGGCCAAACAAAAGATCATCCATATATATCCCAAAAACAGTGTCAAAAATTTGATCGTTTGATTTTTCGTAAGTGGATGAGATCGTAATCAAGTAATATAGTAAATAGAGTTCCAAACCTACAAAGACTATGTGTTTGATCATGTTAAAATTAAATATAACTTTAATCGAATAGCAAACAAATTACTGTGATTTTTTCTAACTAATCCCCTAATTATTAATTAAACTAGTGAAAGCGAGTAAACTTTTTTTTTTTTTTTTAAATTTGTGAGATGCATTGTTAAGATGTAGAATCTCTCTTGTTATTCCACTTTTTAGTGTAACAATTAAAGTTAGAATTTGAAATCATTCATGTTGATCAATGTTTTTAATTTAATTGAAAGCTTCTTGATAGCGATCAAATATATCCCCCTCATATGACCCTTTTATCTCTCGATGAAAAATACAAACCTAATAAATGCATTAATAAGTTCTAGAATACCTATTAAAACTATATAAAGCACAGAGATATATTTTTATCATCTATCGAACCTTACAATATTTATTATATTATGCTTAAACCCTAAAATTTTTCTTGATAACAATAAAATTTACTATCAATTTAATTGGTGATCAAACAATTCAAAAGAACGATATTAAAAATAATAAACATCCGCAAATAAAACCAAGATAATTAATTAAAAACTAAAAATAGCATAACAATGGTTCATCTCATCTCAGCAATATATAAAACTAGCTTAACATATTCAAATTACAAGAAATCATATTTGAGTGAAAATACATAACCCGAATTTTTGATAAATTGAGAAGATGAAGATGAATCTTGAATCTCTTCAATGGTTTCTTGATTAATCTCCACTTGCTCATTCTCTTCTTTGCTCAAAAATCAAGTTTGAATCTTCGCTTGATTGAATTCTTGCAAGTCCCCTTCAATTCTCTTACAAAAACTATGAATTTTCCTCCGTTGATGAATATTGGAGTATATATGTATATGAGAGGTTTAGGAGAGATCTTTTAATATATTCTACATTTAGGTATTTGTAGGAGTCAAAAATTTGTTGAAAATTACGTTCAAATTGGTTTGCAAAAGAGTTCCAATCGAATAAAGCATTCGCATGAGCATGTTTTTATATCTGCACAGTAGTCAGTATTTTGATCATAACTTTCTCTCCCAATATCTTATTGAAGGGATTCAAATTGCGATAGACACCTGACTCAAAGGGCTACAACTTTTCTAGGGATAGAAATTTTCCAATTCAGATGTTTACTATGACAAAAATGGGTCTCAATTTTTGATTAAAAATCTGGAAGATATATTGTGTAATTGAAAATTAATTTATGACAATATTCTGATCACAATACATTCCTTACTTCTAGTTGCATCCAAGTGGCTTTTAGCAATTTGGTCCTCAAACGTTGTACCATTTTTCACATCTTTCTTTCAATTCATTTCCAATAATTAAGTTTTACCTAATAAACGAAATATACAATATATTAGACTATAATTGCTTAAAAGAACTATTAAATATCTATAGTTTTAAGTTCAAAGAGGTGTATAAAATACACTTATCAATTGTTATTGCAATAAAGGTTTGGATAATTTTGCTCTTTCTTCTAGATCAAGATTTTGAAATAATATTACATTTTTAATATTCTTTTTTGTTTTCCCTAGCTTGGGCTACAAAATAACTCGTTGGGCGATCAAAAACCCCGATTCAAGTAAAAGATATTTTCTAATTTTTGTATGTCCTATCCAAGTTGAGAAGTAACTCTTGGCCCTGTTTGTTTTCCATTTTTGAAAGAATAAGAATGAAAAATATAGTCATTACGGGATACACTCAAGAGATAGAAAGTCAAAAATAGTAGTTTGATGTAATGGATAACGGTCATATTTTTCATTTTTATGGTCAAAGAATGAGAATCAAATGAGGGCTTAATTTCTAAATTGTTAAATTAAAAAAAAAAAAAAAATCTTATGCCAACCAACGAAGGCCGTCTATAAGCTTGACCGTGGAAAATTGAAACTTTGCTAATTTATTAAAGCAATCAACCTCACAAAATTAATTTTAGTTCCGTAATTATAAACCACAAATAAAGTAAATTGAGAGATTGTGGTTTATTATATCTCAATAACTGATCCATCTTAAAAATTATTTGTGAATGATGTATTATGGAATAATGATTGATGTTAAATTGTTTGGTTAAAAAGGAAGATTTTTTTTTTTATTTATGTGTAATATTATAATGAAGAATGTAGAATGCTAGGCAAATAAAGCCTAAATTGTGCACTATAAATCTTGAAAAGTATGTCTCGAAATTAATCATGATTAGTCATTAGTGAAAGTCACAACGTTTTCCAATCAGATTCTGGATGGGGAATAGTTAAAACTAAAGGGTAATAGTAAAATTTAGGGTCAGTTTGATTGCAAAGATAAAATTGAATTGAATTGAATTAAAAACGAATTTCAGAGAATTGAATTGATGAAAAAATTGATTTTCTGGAAATTGTAAATTATTGTGTTTGATTAGTATAATTTTCCACATGAAAAATGTTAAAATAAAAGTATTTTTTGGTGTTCGTTTGACTTTATTTTATATGAAAATTGTCAATTAAAGGGATATAATTTATTTGTATTGGGGATGAAGTTTATTTCCATTGCCAAAAAATAAAAATAAAAAAGCAAGAAAATCATCTATCTTTTGATGTTTGTTTGACTTTGTTTTACTTGAAAATTGTCAATTAAAGGGAAATTTTTTTTTACAATAATTCTTAAAATTTGTTTCCATTACCAACACAAAATCAAAATCAAAAAAAATAAACAAAATGCTACAATAACATGGAATTCCAATTTGATTTTCCTTAAAAATCAAGAAAATATCAATTTCCAAGACAAGCAAGAAAAGGTAATTCCATGAAAATAAAACCTTATCAAATACCATAAAGTTGAAAAATAGAATTATGAGAAAAAAACCACGTATCAAACACTACGTAAAGTGATTTGGCCGCTACTGATGAGAATTACTAAAATAATAATAATAACACAGCTCACACAAAAGAGCCCTCTAATCGTTAATCGCACCATATATGTGCTAGTAAACAACTTCCAACTAATTTTGGTCAATGGTCTTGGAATTGAACATTTCATTAGCCCAATATCTAAGACTACGGGATCTAAAGACTTTGGATCAAATTTTAATTCTAATGATTCAAGAACATTGAAGAAAGTTTGTTGAAATTTCTAGTGTCATTCAAATTTAATGTGGGAAAAGCTTTGAAGCAAAATATAGTTCTTTTTTTCTTTTTCTTTTTTTTCTTTTTTTTTCCTTTGACTAACCATTACTGGGACTTGATATAGAATGAAATATAACCAATAAGACAAGACAAGACAAGTCGAACAAAATGCATGAAAATTTTAGATGAGTACTAATGGTCATGATCGTGAGTAATATTGAAATTTGAGTAACTTTATTCGTTATTGTACTTATTTATTAGCATGTCGAATCAACCCTTGACCCAGCTAGAAAAAAATAAACAAATTTTGTTTTATTTATCTTTCAAGGTAACAAATAGATTTACAATGCTAATCCCATATTTGACCTCCTCAAGCTACTATATATAAGATCTATGTTGATTCTTTTAGGACATTTTAATCTAGACAAGAGAAAGAATTCCAAATAAGCGAAGCTTGACTAGCCTGGTTTGGCTGACCATAGTACAACCTTCTAGTAAAATATGCCTCTCGATTTGTTATGAGTTACACAAGGTTTTCAACATGCTCCTCACAAGTAGATTGAAAATCATCTTTTTAATTAAACGCCAAAATATATAAGAGTTTTTTTTTTTTTTTTTTTTTGGGGGGGACGTGGGTAACAATGAGATTTTCAGATGATATTCTTGAGGGATAAACTCAAATAGGCTAATTACCGAAATTTAGATCAACATATAAGAATTTGGATCACTCCTCTTAATAAGGATGGCATTTTAAAATAGAACTCAACTCTTAATAATATTTTTATTTAGTCAACATACCACTTCGTCTAAAATGTATCTTGAATGAGCTTGAATATGATCAGAATGGCGTTTACAAACTCAAGCTTAAAGGAAGTATAATGTAAGTTTCTTTATATAAATAACCTTAGCCAAATTACATTTAAAACTCTTACTGACCCTTTGGCAGACATGCGTTAATAAGATTGCAAAAGAGTAAAAGTTCTAGGGAGGCTTTTGTAGTTACCAAAACCATGAAAATGGATCCCTAGAAAAAGATAAAAAGAAAATGAAATGCCCTTATCCTTAGTGGATAGTAGTGTTTGTTAGGTCTGCCTTCGAACTAAAGTCAGAAAGCAACTTGATATGTAGTCGACAGATGAAGAAGAAGAGGACTGGTAAATCTGGCTTGAAGGCTTGATTACTTTTTCTTGATCATATGTAAAGGTATAATGCCCTGATATCAGCAGAATTTGAGCTCAATCCTACTGATCTTTCCTATCACAACCAAGAAGTTCTTCCAACAACTTGTCATCCAAGTACTCGAATTCGAACACTTGTCTTCCACGTTCATCTCTCTGACCCTGCATTGAACCTGAAGAAGACGAGGCGAAATGTGATGAGCTAATAGGCATGTTGTACTCTTCGGGGAAGTTAAGGATTGCCAAATGACCCCTCATGGTATATGCTGCCTTGTCATAAGCTCTGGCCGCCTCCTCCGCTGTGTTAAAAGTACCTAGCCAAACTCGGGCTCCTTGCCTGTCTGAGTCGCGTATCTCAGCAGCGTACTTCCCCCACGGCCGCTTCCGAACGCCTCTATACTTAACCTCTCTGGCATCCTTCGGACTTTCCTTCTCTCTGTTACTAGGTTGTTCGTCCATGGTTACGGTTTTTCAGAGTGATATTATGGGCATTTATATGTAATGGAAAAGTTAAATAGACAGCATGGTTTGACAAAAAGAAGGGTCCAAAATTTTCCACGTGGGATATTGAGTGGTAGAGAATTGTTGCCACGTGGATAGAATTTTCCATGTTGACCAAATTTTGTATTCAATGTATCTGACTGGTCAATGTGGTGGCTTTGGAACTATCTTTACTTTTGCTTTGGTTCTGTCCTCAATTTTTATGTCATGTGATGGAGAAAAATTAAGAAAGGTATGTAAAAAGTTTAGGTATAAGAATTCATAAGTCACGTGCGAATTTATTTTTAGCAGGGTCTAAATTGGAGGTCAAACTACTCAGATAGTTAAGATGTTAGGTGGTTAAACGTTCCTTATTTATTAAGAAAAAATGAGTTATCGAGCTTAACATCTATAAAATTAAACATTCAATCCAAAATCATAATGATCCAATTATGAGAGTGGATCTTTACCAACTAAACTAAATTGGCAAAAGTTTTTTATAGTATGCATAAAGTAGTTCGACCCTTCTTCTATTTTATGCATGAGCTGAATTATCGTGGACTTGAAAAAACTCACTATTGTGTCCAACTAATTTATGGAGATGTTAGAATAGACTAATACCCCGTTTGTTTTTCATTTTTAAAAGAATAAAAATAAAAAATATAGCATTTACGGACCCTACACAAGAAATAGAAATTCAAATTCGGTGGTTTAATGTGATGGATAATGGTCATATTTTTCATTTTAATGAAGAAAAAATAAGAATCAAACAGGGGCTAAATAAGAAATAAAAACATTGATAAACAAGTAAACTCTAGCAGCAATTGAACATAAGAAAAGGAAAGAAAATAAAACACAAAATATATTTCGCACAAATTTTATAAAATTTTTATGCATAATATTATTCAAGTTATTTTATTGAAATTTTCAATAGATATAACGATAGACCTCGCATAATAACAATAAAAGGTTAAATAGTTTGTTTCGAATTTACTAGAAGTAGAGTTGAACGTCTATTCATCGACACTATTAAATATTAATTTTATGTTGGATTAAACCATTTGTACGAGGGCTTTTGCTAGGATTTTGTGATAGGGAGCCAAGTGTGAAAACTGTATTAGGTGTTGGAAAAAAAGAGATAAAAACAATCCAATTATATTGCGCCACATACCCCTGTAAATAGCCTGGAGGTCATTCCTTGTACACCAAGCATTAAATGGGATTTTCCTATTTTCCATTTTCCTATGTCCCACAATCTAACTTTGTGAACATGATTGGTTTTGACGTAAGATTTACGTGACTGATTAGTTTTAGAATAAAACTATCTGTATAAAATTTGATTGACAAAATGGCTTACTCACTCTCACATGCATACAGATTCTTCTTGCATTAAATATTTAGTCATGTGGTCCCTATCATTTTATTGTGAGAGTGTAAAACTTTAAGTACAAATATATTTGTATATGTAGCACAATCCTTAGTTTTAATAGACGAGTAAACCATCTTTAGTATTAATTGTATGAGTTATGCTATATGTATAGAGAAATTTAAAATAATAATAATAATAATAATAATAATAATAATAAATAAATTTATGGATCACGCATGTCGCTTTGTGATTCAAAAAAAAAAATTATTTATATAGGTGCTACTAATTCAACACATGTAAGGATTCTGTAAACAATTTCTTGTACGCAGGGAATTGTTCTAATTGTATTTAAGAAAGCAACTCACTAAATTAATAACGTATTAATCAAAAAATTAGTTATTTCAAACATCTATAATGTAGTTTATTACGCTAACAATATAAGGGATGTCAGCAATTCTAATTTTAATAATTTTAAAATTTCATAGAATTCTAAATCGGCCGGGTTTGGAAGTGCAGGGCTCGACTTATATTAGCCTCAGTCCATATACAAAATTAATAGTAAAAAGTGGAAATTACACCCACATGTATATTTCAATTTTCAACTTAAAAAATGAAGTTATAACTATTTTTTTTAAAAAAAGAAATCAGGTTATAATTATTATATCCCTACTATATAAAAAGGGGAATGTGGAGATATTGTTGAAATGAATAGTGTTTTGTTCCATTTTGTCTCACTGTAGCATTTTTATTTTTATTTTTAAGTGGGGGAGCAAAAAACGACGTCGTTTGTCTTTGTTTGTTATATATTTATTTATACAATAAAAATAGGTAATCTAAATTTACTGCAACACGCAGCTTTCCATAACTCCCATGAATCTCTTCTCTTCACTCCGTGTATAAGTAAAAAACTTTTTTTTTATTATTTTCATTTAAAACGCAATTTTTTCAATTTTAATTAAATAATATTTATTTTTACTTTAATTATTTCAATTTAATTTAAAAACTTTATAATAACTTTTTTTTTTTAATTTTTGCCTATAATTTTTTTTTTTTGGTTAAATCTTTCAGTTTCTTTTCTTTATCAGTTGGATTGGATGAAGTTAAGTAATGTGTGAAAATGAAAAAATACTGTAGTGGAGGTGACCGTGCACAAAGTCTCTTTTACAAATATGAATATTTCAAATTCTTCACTGAACCCATTGGCCTTCATCTCTCTCTGTCACTGATTTTGACAAATAATTATATAAACTAAAATCAAATATGATGCAACGTAGGTATGGCAAATTGGCTCGGGAGCTCGGGCCGCTCATGGCTTGGTTCGTAAAATGCTCGAGCTCCGAGCCCCATCTAGGGGTGTCAGGCCAAGCTTGAGCAGCCCGTGTGACTCGGAAGCCGGCTCGAAATGAAAA